ATTTTGTAAGAATGTAATTAGATAATTAAAAATATTAATAAAGGGCAATTAAATAGAAAATAAAAAAATACAATAAAATAAAATGTAAAAATACCAGAGATATATGAAAGGTAAAGTAAAATAAAAATTAAATTAAAAAATGATAAATAAATAAAAATAAGATTTATGAAGGGTAAAAAAATTTAATAAATAAAAATAAAATAAAAAAATAATCAAACAAACCACAATCAAAAGCAGAGTGCCAAATTACCCAAATAGAAGGATTAAAGTTAACTAGAAAATTGTATCTCTGTTAAACCAAATACTGCAGGGGTAAGGCTACTACATTTCTTTAAAAATGAAATACCCAATTCTTGATGAAATCTGTGCCTGTTATAATCTGTAATTTTTACACTTTTTCCAAAGATTTTCACTAAAACTAAAGCAGTGACAGGTTTGTATGTTTACACTACATTTCCCATCATCCCTTGCACAGCCAGACCACCAGTGACATTAATGCAGATCATAAAGCGAAGAAGGCAATAACAGAAATCTAAAATGACTTGACCTGTTGTTTTCATTCAACCACAAATCATTTAAATCACACTGTAAGCCTTGTGGTGTTCATATTACACACAAGAGTCTCTTCAAATGTGCTCAAATAAAACACAAACACACACTGTCATATTTACATATTCGGGGCTCATTAAGTTGTAAGCTCATAAATTTGATCGGCCCAGTAGCTCAATTCTTTATTAAAGAGCGTTTTCTTTGGAGCAAAAGTGGATTTTTAATAATAACGCCTATGGTTTTAGGGTCGAGCTGATAAACAACACACACAGATGGCAACTGAATTAGTCACTGGAGGTCTGAGGCATTATTTATCACACACTGAGAAGCAGAAACTGCAGAAATACACCAGGAGGACTCTGACTGACTGACGTTCAGAGGAAAAGATGCTGGAAATATGACTGTGTCTCTTTAATCTCACACCACACAGCATGTGTAAAACTTTCAGATCTATCCTGCAGAAAAACACCATCCATATGGAGAGCAGAAAGTGGTTTGCGTTAAAAAAATTGTTAATAAATTTCAAGTAAAATGAATCAAATATGTAAAAAAAAAGTAAATGACTGTGTACTGGTGCAGTGGGTAGTGCTGTGGCCTCACAGCAAAAAGGTCGCTGGTTCAAGCCACGGCTGGGCAAGTTGGCATTTCTGTGTGGAGTTTGCATGTTCTCCCCGTGTTGGCGTGGGTTTTCTCCGGGTGCTCTGGTTTCCCCTACAGTCCAAACACATGCGCGATAGGTGAATTGGGTAGTCTAAATTTTCCGTAGTGTATGAGTGTGATTGAGAGTGTATGGGTGTTTCCCAGTGATGAGTTGCATCTGGAAGAGCATCTGCTGTGTACAACATGCGCTAGATAAGTTGGAGGTTCATTCCGCTGTGACAACTCCAGATTACAAAAGGGATAAATAAATAAATAAAATAAAAAATTATAAATTAATCAAATAATTAAAAATTAAATAAAATTGAAAAATAAAATAATTTAAAAAGACTATATGTACACTAAAATAGAAAAAATAAAACAATTAAAAATAAAAAAAATTATTAAATAAAATTTTATTTAAAATAAACAAAGATTAATTAAATAAAAATTTAATAAAATAAAATAAAAATAAAATAAATTACAATCGACTAAAATTAAATAATTAAAAATTAAATTAAATTAAAATTATATTAATTTAAATAAAGTGATTAAAAATAATGATAAATATAATATAAATAAATAAATAAATATAAAACAAACAAACATTAAACAGAATAAAATAAATAAAAATTTACATCTGAAAATAAAATAATTAAAAGTAAAATAATTTAACTTGATTAAATAGATTAAAATAAAATATTTGCAAAAACAGTTAAAATAGAATGAATTTAAAACTATACAACAAAATAAATAATAATAATATATAATAAATAGAACATAAAAATGTGAATTAAAATAAAATGAATAAAATGGTCAATAAATAAAAAAATAAAAAAATTAATAATCTAAAACTAATAAACACAGATTAAATGAATAACAATAAAATAATTAATAATAAAATAACATGAAATGCATTCAAATAAAATGAATTCAAATAAAATTAATACAATAAAATATAAATTAAATTAAATAATTAAATAAAAATTAAACTAATTAAAATGAAACAAATCAATTTTATCTAAATTTAAATAAATAAACATTAAATAGATTAAAATAAATACAAATAAAATGATAAAAAATAAAATGAATAAAAAATCTATATAGCAAAACAAAATAGAGAATAAATAAAAAGTGAATTAAAATAAAATGAATACAAAAATGTAAAAAATAATAAGCAAATATTAAACAAACAAAAATTAAATAAATTAAAATTAAGTTGTCCAAATATGCTGTAAACAAAGGCTGTAACCACCTTTTTATGCTGTAAAGTTGGCCATTTTAACATTGGAGTCCATGGAAATGTGTTCTGTATCGGAGCCGGTAACCAGTTGATGAAGTGCAGTTTCAGTTACTTTTGCATTAGCTTGTCACTTGCTTCCCACGCAAAACAAACTTGATGGAAGAATATGCACAGCTGTAAGCAAACTCTAAGTAAACATATTTAACTCAAAGCATTTAAATCATCATATGAGCCAAAATCTGTAATAAATAAAATGTATTCTGGTGTATGTTCATGTTTTGGAAGGTTTCTATAAAAATGTAATATTAAACACCACACCTTAAAAAAACAAAACTCCAACAGAAATGCTTTTAAAATGTTCACTGATTCCAGTATATAAAGCAATGATCAATGAGTTACGCAATGAGTTACACAATGAATCCAATCATAAAACACAACAGCAGTGTTTATAGCACACAGCATTACAGTCCCCCCTTCACAGGTCCAGGGGAACGGGCAGAGGCTGTAAATCCATAGATGGCAGCTCTGGCTAATGAGATTGGAGAACCGGCTGACTCTCTGTAGCGGCACACGCAGTAAATAACACACTATCTATGATCAATATCAGTGTGCATTTGCAGCCAACACACACACACACACACACACACACACACACACACACACACACACACACACACACACATATATATATATATATATATATATATATATATATATATATATATATATATATATATATATATATATATATATATATATATGTATATATATATATATATATATATATATATATATATATATATATATATATATATATATATATATATATATATATATATATATATATATATATATATATATATATATATATATATATATATATATATATATATATATATATATGTATATATGTTTTTTGTTTCATTTTTTATTTAAATTTATTTTTAATTTCTTTGTATTTTTAATTTACTCACATTTTTTATTTAATTTAAATGTAATTTTAATTAATATATTTTATAATTTAATATCATTTATCAAATTTATATATATATATGTGTGTGTGTGTGTGTGTGTGTGTGTGTGTGTGTGTGTAAATAATTTATATGAAAATAATTTAATTCATATTCATTTTATTTAGTTTTATATGTCAAAAAATATAATAAATAAAATAGAATTATTTATAATTGATTTATTTAATTCATTCATTTATTATTCATGTAAATATCCATTTATACAATTTTGCTATTTTATATATAAAAATATATTTCATTAATTAAAAAATTTTTTTAAAATTTATTTTAACATATTTTTGGTGTCATAAAGTCGTGGCTGAACAAGATTAAACTTGCCAGTAGTGACCGTGTGCTGGAGTTTGTGTGCCTTCATCTCACAAATATGATTCTTCTGACACTCTTAGTTGGAAGGACGAATGTACGAGATGTAAATAAATGAGGTTTTCCACTGAATACACGGAGGCAGGACTTTCCCAGAAGGCCACTTGTCCTCTGAACACTCTTAAGTTCAGCCATTTATCATGTTAAGAGGCTTTTTGTCTCTGTCGTTTGCATAATGTGAGTCTCTTTACTCCGCAAACACTTGAGGACAACCGGGAAAACAGAGAGCTTTCTTTTATGAAAACAGTTTTGCGCCCCACAATGCCTTTTCTACTCTTAAATGAAGCTCTTATCATTTACTCACGCTCTGTTATTGTTTATTATGGTCTGTGTTTTCATGTCTTGAATGTGGATTTTGATTTAATGTTTGATTTAATTGAAAAAGAATTTCGCTTAAAGGGGTTAATAATTTTGTCCTTAAAATGGTTTTTAAAAAATTAAAAACTGCTTTTATTCTAGCCGAAATAAAACAAATAAGACTTTCCCCAAAAGAAAAAATATTATAGGAAATACTGTGAAAATGTCCTTGCTCTGTTTAACATCATTTGGGAAATATTTGAAAAAGAAATATCCCAGGAGGGCGAATAAGTCTGACATCAGCTGTTTCACCTTGTTTCCTCCAGTCAACTCTTCACTGACTGTCCTGTCCTCTCGCCTGGGTTTCAGGTATATTCGAGCGGAACAGAAGCTGAACGCCAGCATCTCCAGCAATGGCTGCAGGGATCAGTCGGAGCAGACGGTGGTGTTTCTGGAGCATGTGGTGGTCCGAGTCCTGATCGTTCACCCGCGTAGAGGAGACCTGGAGATCAACCTGATCTCACCGTCAGGGACGCGCTCACAACTGCTGGCTCAGAGGTAGGAAAAATGCAAAACAAAGATGATAAACTCACAAAATGAGAGAACAAAGATGATAAAAATCTGATTTTTGTGAATAAATTGACTGATTTTGGCGGTTTCAAAGTTGATAAATCCTGCATTATTTCTCTTGAAGGCAAACTCTCCAAGATTTGACAAAAAATTAGCATGTTTTTGTGACATTTCTATGTCCTCTTGAAGTGGCTTGCGATGTGCCTTCATCATTTGCAATGCATTACATTGTTTTCCAGCTGCAGCCTAAAGTGATGTATACAAACTATATGGTATACTATGACCAGGGATACAATCAGCCAGTGCAGTCGTCCTCCATAGTGAAAAAGCGGCATTTTTTGTCTGCCGGTTTGTTTACTTGGGAGTTCCATTGGCATTTTTACGCATGTTAATTCTGACCAATCAAAAAGCAGTTTAGGAAATGCGTTCAATAACATCTGGCCAATGAGTGATGTGGATTTTGTCACATGACTGCATTCTGGTTCTTTTCAACTGGTTCGGACCAAATCAATCAGTGTGGTGTGAAAAGGACCCAAAAACGGCAGAAAAATGCTACAATGTATCATTTGTTGCCCTTGGTCCAGACCCAATGAACCGAACTACAGATGTGAAAGCAGGATCAAAGCCTAAAAGGGTCAGTTTCAGAGAGTTACAAAACACTATTATTGTGGTATTTTGAGCTGAAACTTCATAAACACACTCTAGGGACATCAGAGACTTATTCTACATCTTAAAAATAGGGACCTTTAAAGGCAATTTTTCCAAGTTTTTACAAAAAATAATAATTTGCGACTAAAATGACAGAACTTGTGGTTATTTTTCCATTGAATATTGAAAACTCAGCAGATTTTTGTGAGTAATTTTGTGGCGAGTTTTCACATTTTTCAAACTTTGCATAATTTATTTTATTAGTCACTTTAAGATTTCATGAACAAAATTAAGATTTTTGTGACTTAAATGACTGATTTTGGGGAGTTTAAATTATATAAATTCTGCATTATTTCTCTTAAAGACAAACCCTCCAATTTTTGACCAAAAAAGTCTAATTTTTGTGACTGAAATTACAGATTTTGTGTTTAGAAATTTTTCATTTTTATCATCATTTTTTGAGAGGGGAATCTGCTGCTATAATGACACACAGGCATTTGTAGCTCCGCCCATTTTTGAAAACAGCACAGTCTCATTTGAATTTAAAGTGACAGTCACCCAAATGCCACAATTAGGATGAAAGCCTAAAAGGGTCAGTTTCAGAGAGTTATAAAGCATTATTTGTGTGATATTTCGAGTTGAAACTTCACACACACACACACACACACACACACACACACACACACACACACACACTAAGAACATCAGAGACTTATTTTACATCCTGTAAAAAGGGACATAACAGGTCCCTTTTAATTTGCGACTAAAATTATTGATTTTGTGGCAGGTTTTTAAAATTTGGTGGAAAAAAAATCCTATTTTTGTGATTATTTTGTGGTGAGTTTTCACATTTTTTAAACTTTCTATCATTTTGTTTAAAGGTAGTCCCTTCAAGATTTCATGAACAAACCTAATTTTCCGAAAATATAAGATTTTGTTTTTCAGGTTTTCAATTTTTTCTAATTTTGAGATTTTTGCAATTTAAATGACAGATTTTTCAAGTCAACATCACCTTTTCAAATATGTTTACTGAGAATAATGGTGATGTGTTCAATAGTTATTTTCCCAATGTTTGCTATATAGAAGTTTAGCGAATAAAATTAAAACTCGTTGCTATAATGTCACATGACGTGGATCACACATCAGAAGAGAAGCATATTTTGACAACCCAAGGCTTTGCCCAGCAGACAAGCACATTTTATTCACAGATACTATAATGGGTTTTTTTATGTGAAACTTTAAAGATGGCTCTCTGTGACAGGGCGGGAATTTGAACAATGTCCCACCTGCCCAAAATACACTACCTGAAAAAAGTCTTGTCGTCGAACCCAGTTGTAAGAGCAGCAAATAATTACTTGACTTCTAGTTGATCATTTGGAAAAGTGTAGAAGGTAGATTTCCCTGAATCATCTGTTCAACTGAATCCCAATCATCACAGATACTGCAGAAGACCTACTGGAACCCACATGGACCCAAGAATCTCAGAGAAATCAGTCAAGTTTGGTGAAGGACAAATCATGGTTTGGGGTTACATTCAGTATGGGGGCGTGCGAGAGATCTGCAGAGTGGATGATCAACATCAACAGCCTGAGGTATCAAGACATTTGTGCTGCCCATTACATTACAAACCACAGGAGAGGGCAAATTCTCCAGCAGGATAGCGCTCCTGCTCATACTTCAGCCTCCACAGCAAAGTTCCTGAAAGCAAAGAAGGTCAAGGTGCTCCAGGATTGGCCAGCCCAATCACCAGATATGAACATTATTGAGCATGTCTGGGTTAAAAGGGAGGAGGAGGCATTGAAGAGGAGTCTTGATGAACTCTGGGAATCCTGCAAGAAAGCCTTCTTTGCATTCCAGATGACTTTATTAATCAGTGATTTGAGTCATTGGAGAGATGTATGGATGCAGTCCTCCAAGCTCATGATAGAGTCAGACACAATATTCACTCTGTTTCCACTGCAGCATGACTATACTGGATATTATTTCTGTTAAGTGACAATTCTTTTGTTTAAGCAAAGCCAGAACTTACGGTCCTAATTAAATAATTAAAAATCAAGTCATGATCATATTTCATTTCGGTAAAATAATTTAGAGGTTTTTGCCTTTCATATGAGCCACTTCTGATACCAAATGATCAACTAGAAGTCAAGTTATTATTTGTTGTTCCTAAAACTTGGAAAGACGACAAGGCTTTTGTCAAGTTAACACAAATGTTTGTGACATTAACTGATTTTGCGTTAAATTGCCGATCGCGGAACGCAAAATCCTGGAGGTTCTGTAAACGGTAAGTTCATCCAAATATTTTCACATGATTTCAAGTGAAGGGCTTATAATTTGGACTTCATCTGTATTTTTTTAAAACAAACAAAAGCTTGAGTTTAATATCTTTTACAATCCTGAAGTTTTTATCACTCATACAAATGCAAGCACACTACCGTGGTATTATCCGTCTTTTACCATAGTGTATTCTGCAGAGCTGCTCTGGTTTGTGTCACGCGGGAAGCTTCAACCTGTCAATCACGCGGCGGTTTGAAATCCTCTCTGCTCTTTTCTCTCGTCTTCAGTGCGGTTTAGTATTCTCTGAGCAGTTTTCCTCGCGCGGTTATGAACACTGAAAGATCCTGAGCTTCATTCTCATGACCCTCATGAATAAAACTCTCACACACTCCACATCACTCATTCTGCTGCAGATTTTACAGTGGCATCCAATACAAGAGCTGAATAGCATACACAAGTAAATAATAATGATAAAACTAGTACATGTAAACAGTGAAAGCATTTTAAAGGGGACCTAATATGCAGAAATTACTTTTATAAGGGGTTTAAACACAGTTGTGTGGGAATATAACCAGTTTAAAATGCTAAACATTTATTAATTCTACTTTTTTGTAATCGCACTTCATTAAAACAGTCTGCAGAAACACATTGATTGACATTCTCCCTTTGTATGTGTCATCAGAGGAGGAAAAACTCCGGCCATTAGTGACATCTCTCCGTCATTAGCTTAAACAGCCCTGAGTGAGAAGCAGCCGTCCATCATTTCCACCTGCTCAATATAATATCAGCGACTAATAGGATTATAAATGTGGAGTTTTAGATGCACAAATGAACAATGGATTCTCTATAAACTTACTTCTTCCATGCGCAGTTTATTAAACAGATTAGTCAGGCAGGCAACGGTTAAAACAGGGGCAAACAGAAGCAGACAGGAAATCCAGGATCGTTGTTAAAAACAGGCAAATGGTCAGTTCAGGCAGCACAGAATCAATAACGATGGTAAAACAAGGCAAGGATCAAAACACAGAAAAGACTAGACCAGTGGCTCTCAAACTTTTTTCATCAAGTACCACCCCAGAAAAAAATTGTCTCTCCAAGTACCCCTAAAATGAGCGGTATTGAAATACAGTAGCGTATTAGGCCCAGTAAATCCGCTGCAACTCTGCACTGTTTAAAATACGTGGCAGATTACCTAAATATAGGCTATATGTCATATATGGCATATTGTATACATCATTTTGGTAAATTTTGAAATGTGTGTAGCATGTACATGACATATTTCATTCCTCCGCGTACCACTAGAAGGAAGCCTGCGTACCACTAGTGGTACACGTACCACAGTTTGAGAACCACTGGACTAGACAATGAAAGCTTAGTGGTGTTAGAGAAAACAGTGAATAAGACTCAGTAGTGTTTGTGAAAATGAGGCATGTCTTTATAGTAATCATTGGTCACTTAGAGGACTGCATCCATACATCTCTGCAATGACTCGAATCACTTATTACAGGGCCGATCCCACTGAACGTGCCTTTACATTCCAAAAACGCAAGGCGCACCTCACTACCTTTTTTGTTGATGAGAAAAAAAACCGTGGTGCGCTTTTTATGTTGCTAGGCAATGATTGAATCTGCTGCACAATGTGCAAAAGTTGCTGTTCATATTAATATAATTTTAATGTTTATTATTATTGTGATATTCTAGATTTGTGAGTCATACAGCACCTGATAACCAGGGCCAGACGGAATCTGCGGACGTTTTTTTGCAATTTCTGCAGAGAATTTTGGTAAAAATCTGTGGATTTCGTGCAGAATTATTTTGGGAGTATCCAGCGGAGTATCATAACTAAAACCTTAATATATGAAATAAAAAGTAATAAATTACTGAAAAAAAAACGGAATAAATTCAGATTTACACATTTACCCAAGTAATAAACAGAATTAATGATGGGCTAAAAATCTGCAGAAATCTGCAGAATTCTGCGGAAAATCTTCTGCGTGTGCAGATTCCGTGTGGGCCTACTGATAACTCAAAAAAGCAACCACAAGCCTCTCCTCCATCTTCAA